ATGCTCTCATGCAGCACGTATTTTACACACTACAAGCAATTTATAAACTTATTACACCATGTGGGATGTATGAAACAAGGCAAAACTTTTGCGCTGCGCACATGCAGAAGAAGCCGTTTTTCCGCCAAAAGTTTACTAAAAAATATTAAAAAAGTTTTCCAACAAATATTTGCAATCAAATTAAAAATGTTGGGAATAGTTTCGTTGCTAAAAGATAATTTAAGTTTTTTATTTAACGCTTTTGCACAGAATTGAAAAGTTCTATCTTTTAATAGACAACGTATTGCGCGTACTTAATGTTATGTCGGCTAAAAAATATTAAGCCTAATGAATGTAGTTTGACATAAAGGAATATTAGAAATTTGCCTCTCAGAAGGTTCAGTATTTTTTTTAGCTGCAATGTACAGTTACGTGCACATATAAGAGCATTTTCGAAATGCATCTGTGCTCGTTTTATACCCATTACCGAAGAATGAGTGGTATATTCAGTTCATCAGGACGTTTGCAGCGCCCAGAAGGAAACTTTAAAGAACTTACAAAGTGTAAGGTGATCAGCATCAGATTCTGAACCGATTTAGATACGGCCGTCTATCCATCCGGCCGGCCGCGTATTGTCCTTCTGGCCGCAGAACCAAGCTGTCGTCTTCAAATTCGGCAGACACATTGAAAGTTCTAGCACGCAGCTTAGTATTGAAAATGGGTCGCACCAATCGAAGAACACGCCTACACTACGTAAACTGAGAACATCTCGGTTTTGTCAAAGTAATAAAAAATAAATTTTTGTCTCATTACTCACAAAACTATAGTAAATAAATCTATAAAAATTTGAACTTATATTCTATAGACGATACCGTAGTACCTCTAAAAAAATAGGAAATGTGGGCCACGCCCACTTAATTTTATAATGTGCTATAAATTCATTTTCTTTAAGAAAATGAGATTTCATAAGATTTCATAAATTATATAATTTCTTTGTCACTTTAAAACTCGGAACGCGTCCTTAAACGTGTTCGTTCATTAATCTGTCCCTATAGATCCGTCTGCGCACCTAAGTAATGTCTGTGGCAAACACTCTCCCGTTCGCAAGAAGGAAGATATCGCCTGCAAAACTTATAGTAGAATTTGAAAAGCAGCCAACTTTTCAAAGGACCCGCCTACAACACGCCCGCATGCTTACATAACAACAACTGTGAATACTTTTGTTTTCCGGGCTTTTTACTTTTAACCCATGAAGTGCAACACCTACACCATATGAACTTCCACTTTCATTCTGAAAATGGAAAAATCAGCCGCACCCATCCTCTATTGCAAAGTACAAAAATGTAATTCCTTTCCTTCTTTTTAGGATCACAGTGATGGCTATAAAACATTCGGTCATGACCGAATATAATTTTCTTACTTGTTCTTCACTAGTTTTCATTTACTTATGCGAGACACATGTTTTGAGTTATATTTACAAGTTGTTTTTTTCTTTTCATCATTTTAGTTTATTTAACTTTTACGAAAAGAGCTCCGCATCTGTCACTTGGTGGCTGTGAAATATCTTCATGTTTCTACTCAGTTTGCTATTTTTATAGCTCACACCGCTTATGGTAGGGATAGATTAAATTCGTGTGGATATATGCAACATTTAGAAGAACTCGTTTTTTATTCAGACGATCTTTTACTAATTAATTTAAACAATTCTGGCCGCTTGTCCTTCGATTGTCTGCCTATACATATTTTTGCTTTCATTCTACAAAGCGGAATTTTCAAACATTTCGATATAATTTGATGCACTGTTTTGGCCCAAGAACGAACGTTGCTGAACATACATCGCTTTTAGAACTATTCCCCGTAAAAAGTTATACTTTGTTGTATGGAAAAAATCTTTAAGTTTTAATATTTTTCTGCAAAAATTGATTGAAGAAAATAGTATTTTCGTAGACGAAAATTTGGGTTGAACGGCCAGTTTTTGAACTTTGTCTTTTTACAAAAATTTCTTATAAAAAAACAAATAAAAAAATTATATTTAGTCGTCACCGAATTTTTTATACCCATCGTCGTTGCCTTAAAAAAACTAAAAAGAAGATATATAACTAAGTTTTCATTCTCTATGATATTCGATGTTGCAGAGGCCTGTGGACGCTTTAGGCGTCGTTTTAGATTATTTTCGCTTTCTTTTGCAAATTTGTAAGCGATTTCTTCTTTATTCTGGCCACGAAAATATTTACCACAGATACTGCATGGTTGGGCAAATGTTCAGATGTTGAGATGAACAGGCGATCAGACGGACATGCTTAAGTGCATATCAAATTTTAAGCTGGCCAAGATTTCACACATGTTACGGGGTTTTTGAAGCTTGTTTCTGTGTAACAAAAATTCATTTTTGTAGTTCAATTTGTGCGGCCAGAAGAATGTTTACAGCGACGTTACACAAACAGGCAGACAGCCAGACGGACATATGGACAGACGGACATGTTTGAATCGATTCAGAATTTGATGTTAGTCAAAAATATATTCACTTTATAAGGTCTTTGATCTTTTCCCCTGGATGTTGCAAACGGTTTGACAAGCATACCCCTCATCCATTTCATATGGAAGAATGGTTTAATTTTTAATATTTTTTTTAAATTATATTATTATAAGCTAACTGTTATATTTTTGATCTACGTAGATCTCTTCTGGGAACCCTCTGCATGTAAGGAGTGTTATTAAAGGTGAGTGCTGACATAGCCACAAAGTCAAGTTTTTAATATTTTATAACAAAAATTGATGGAAAAGTATAAAATCGTTGGCAAGAAAATCAATTTAGCTAAATTTGTACAACATCAGCTAACCCACACTCCCCTACTCCCGTGAAAAATATGCCATGAGAAGAACTTTTTTTCATATTTTATGACAAGATAGTTGACCTTGCTCGACTACAATGTTTTGACTGACGAGGCGATAGGAGGTTATTTTCACCTTTACTTTAAGATCACGAAGTATCGGAATGAAATGTGATAGGGTTATTCTTAAAACATTTTGATATTACTGCCGTTCGCTACCCACTCGTTTAGAGTCATAACTTCTCATACTTCTGGGCGGTACGAAAAGTGAAATTAAAGAATCTGGCGACGATATCTCGTGCAATCTTACTAAAATGGTATATGTAATGCCGGCCCTTGTCGTTCTTCCATGGCACATAAGAAAGTTAAGCATATTTGTTAATAAATACGACAAATGCAAGTTGCAGTATTCTCAAGGTTGATCTTCGATATCTGATACCTTTAATTAGTTTAATTATGGATAGTGTCAGTTGGCCTCAATTTCAGCTTTTTTTTGTTCTCGTATCTGTTTTGACACCTGTTGACACCAAAATTGTCGATTACACTGAGACGAATGTGAGACTTGACTCGCGAAGCTTGAATCTCATTTAGTTAAGCCAAATAGGTGGGGCATTAGTAAAAACAGCGAGATATTATGAATTAAAATTAAAATATCATTTTGTAAATCATGAAACTGCATACTTGATGAAAGAAAACAAATCAATAAAGTTTTAATATTGGCATAAATTATAAAAAGTAAAATGCAATATCGTTCCGTTAAATAAAGTAATGGAAAAGTTTATTTATGTATATTCAATATTCACAATACAAGATACAACGATCGACTCTCTTCTTCTTATTCAATGTTCATAAATATTTGACCTCAATTTTCTGCATGATTTAAATATAATTTTTCAATTAAAATTTGTTTGTATCTATCTGGAAATGTTTGGTGTGAATGGAAATGTTTTCCTTTTTTGTTTTTTTTGTATCAGGCAAACAATGGTAGTATATTAACTTGGCTACTAAGTTGGTAACATCGAGAAGTAAGCAATGGTTTTTGTTTATACTTTCAAATCAACTTGAAACTTGAAAATAGTTTGTTGGTTTAAGAGAGTTTAACACTAGAACTACCAACGTTGTATCTAACAGAAGGCATCATTTTGGCCCCTTGGACACAACTTGCCACAGTCGTGAATTTAAGGCAGAAAAGTGAAATTTGATATGAACATCTATTGATCGATTAAATTCATCCAAATGTTGGAAAAATGATTTGTGATCTGCCTACTTACACGCCCACCATAAATGAGAAACTAAAATAACCTCAAAACAAAGAACTCTTTCATATTTTCATCTATAACATTCGGTCGTGTAAAGACGTCTTGGATGATTAACTTGAAACCGGGGAAAAGGGTCACTAGTTCGCCCGCAGTTAACAATGAAATTTTGTTTCGAATTTACTGAATTAAAAATAAATTGGAATTAAGTTTATATATTAATAAACCGATCGTGACTATTTCGGGACTGACAACCAAAGTGATCCTGACAAATATTTAGGTTTCAAGTTTTAAAAAATATCTTTACGGGAATATGAAAAAGATGTGGGCATTTTTCCGAGGCTGTTCCACTTTCTTGAATAATGCGGACGAGTTCAAAAAGCAATCGCATCTAATCTTCCTAATCGATCAAGGAATACCTATCCCAAACTTCAGATTCCTATCATCATTTTTACGACTGTGGCAAGTCGACAATGATATGGAATCAAAATGATCCCTTTCGGTAGAAATAGATTTTTGTCATCGGCATCTCCAGCTGGTAAAAAAGTGACTATAGGCATTTAGAGATCTTTCCATATAAAGAGAAGTCCTCAACAAATTTTGGAACATTATATGCTTTATAACCATTTTTTTAAAGATTGAAAATTAAAAAGGGTCGAAATAACGTACTCGGTGGTTCTAGTGTTAAGTAAAAAATCGCTACATTAATGGCATTGAGCATTAGTGAACTTGAGCATTTCAAATAAATTAAATCTTTTCTCATATCTCACATATAATTCTCAATCAAATTTTATCCGTTTAAATGATCTGACCTCTCTTAAGCTCTTCAAAAATTAAGAAATTATAAATTCTTACGCTTTTTCTCCTTAATTATCTAAATTATGAATTTCCCAACTTGGAAATTTTCGTATTCGCTTTCGGTTAAACTACTTACCTTAATATTTCTTTACACTTCCGCTTCGTATGCGATGCTGACGTTATTTAACCATTCGTTTGTTATACGTGAAAATATATTGTATCAATTTGGTCACGAGCGATCTTCAAAATTGTTTTCAAAGTAATTTTGTGCAAAGCAAAATTTACATAACTGTTGTGTTTTGAAAACTGCAAGTGAAAGAGAAAATTAATCGTAAATAAATGAATTATAGAAAAAATTATATTCGATTATGATCGAATCTTTTATACCCGTCGCCATAATCATAGTAAAAAAAAAAAAAAAAAAAAAAACTTTATTTACCTACTCTATAATATTGGATGGGCGTGGCTGATTTTTTACTCTTTTTATAGAAGGAAAGTGAAAATCCATACCTTGTGTCTGTTTTAATTTATGAGTAAATGGCAAAAACACGAGAAGTGGAGGTGTTCCCAATTTTTGCTACATTATCGACGTGTACCCTGACCGATTTGGATTATTTTCAAATTGTTTTGTTAATTTCGATATCTAGGTGCGTGACGAGCTTGACACTAGACAACTATGCATATACACTATGGGATTTTCGGAGCTTGCTTTTGAACGTTATAAAGGATATGTTATAAAGGGTCGAAGGGACCAACTTATCCCATTTTTGTGCAAGTACTATAGCATCGCCTATAAAATATAGATTCAAATTGTTACAGTTTTATCTAATGTTGGTGGGTTATGAGCAAAACGCATTTCTCCTCCCCTCGCCAACTGAAAAACAAAGGTACTATAACATGTGCGTCCTTTAGTTGATTTGAAACCGATAGATTCATTTTACCCGCCAGGAAAATGTATACAGCAGACAGGCGGGCATTCTTAAATCGCTTCACTATTTGGCCATGATAGAAGTACATATACTTCATTGGGTCTCTTAAACTCTCTTGTCGGTGTCGAAAATAGCTGTGCATGTCTTCTTTTGCTGTTCTTTAAGAAGGTCTCCTATCAGTTTCATTTCTTATCACTCTATGCTTCTTCTCCTATTTTGAACAATCGACCTGACGAATTCACGTATTACAGAGACTCATTTGTTCCTTCTTCATTTTCTGTCGGCACTAAGCAGTTAACACGATACAAAGTGTCATTGCCTTTAATAAAGTGCACTCCTGTGGCTTGGGAAAAAAATCGACCTAATTACATTCTCAACTTAAACAACGATGGACATGCTCGTGTCGAAGGCAACGAATAGGCTGACTGGTTGCTTACCCAGCAGAGAAGCCGAAAGGTCTTTGATAGGTTTGGAAACATACCGCAAGTTGCCAGGTCAAGAGGCTGCTATCGCAATGGACGCAGAAAAAAACAGCAAACCGTTGGAAGCAGAGTCCAATCATGTCATGTATAAAGCCAAGGCCAATTACAGAATCAGATAACAGGTACTTGGCGAATATTTCATAATACCGTATGGCGCTACGAATGTAAGAAGGTGACGGGATTCATAACAACCCTGAAGCTGTAGGACTATGGGCATGAGTGAGCACAGCCGATCTTTTTTGTTATATGATACATTGCACATCCACGCAAGCTTAACATATCCTATACGACAAGTGATGTAGGTCATGAAAATTTTGGCGATACAAACAAAAACGTAATATACTTATATAGAATAATTTTAATAAACATTTTTTTTTTTAAAACCCTACAATTATTTTATTTATGTGTCATAAGAATATTGACTTGACACAACCGCAAGAAATATATAAATAGAACGAGTTCTTCTGCACCAAATTCACGATAACATCAATAAGAATTTAAGTGTAGCTATAAAATTGATGCGTACAAACTTTTTATAGGCGATGGCGAATGTTTTCACTAAAAATATGTTTTCAGTATTTGGCACACTACTTTCCCAAGAATACATAAAAGAGATGATGACTATTTTCGTTTGCTAAGTTTGTAATTCTTTTTAGGGTGATGCTGCAAAATTTCGTAATATATTAGGTTATATAAAAAGTCTCCGCTGTTTGTTCCGCGGAATGCTATCGAGGAACACTCACCTGGTTATCTCAAACGAACATATGCTTAAAAGGTGATTTTCCAATCTATATATATATATATTTATTTCTTTGTTCGTGTCGTCTTTCTACTTCATTGCTCGTGTATAAAGTTTTGTTGATTTCGAAGCTTGTGAAATATTTGAAGATATGCTATGTAGTGCTTATTTACTGTAAAAAAACTAAAAACGTTGCAAAAAAAAAAAAAAATTGTGAAGTGTACGGTGAGAATGCTAGTGTAAGAAAGAATCCATGAGTGGTTTGCTCGATTCCGTTCCGGAAATTTTATTGCCAAAGATGCATTTCGCTTTGCTTGAAAAGTCGATGAGATTTTACAACTCGTGGAGCACGATCAGCAAACAAACGGCGGAGGCGCTAAACATTAACAGGTTGAAATCATTTGAAAAGAATAGGCTGCAGAAAGAAGTTCGAAACCGCGGAAGAAACCGCGGAGAATTTTTATATGACCCATTATTTTACACTATACTAATGAGCGCAGAGATAAAGCGTAGTAATGCGAGATCAAGTTCTTTAATTGTAAGACCCATTCGATTCCTTTGTAGAGTATACAGCAAAATGCATATAAATTAATTATATTTTTGTATACAATATATCACATGTGTATATACACTTATATATACGTTTATAAATTGTAAATTAATTTTTTTTTTTTTATTTGTTTACCAAGTAATAATTATAACAATAATAATGACTCATATTGAACAAGAGCAACTCATAGCAATGCCTTTTAACCAAAAATACCTTTCAACCTTCATTATAATAATTTTTGTTTTCGTTTTCGTTTCATTAAGACTTATAGGCAACCTAGACAGTCAGTCGTATCGATAATTAACAAAGTGCTTTCAGGTCAATTGGCATTTTTTTTTTGTTTTTTTTTTTCATATTATATTTATAAAAATAATAATCGATCGATACATGCTTACATATCTAAATTCACAGTCATCAATAAATGAAATGGATTTAATCAAAATACATTTAATTAAGCTACATATACACATGTAACATTTAAACATGTGATATATTTATATATATATATATATATATATATATATATATAAATTGTAAACGAAATTATATACAACCGCAGCGTTTATAAAGCGTTACCACTCCTTAAATCAAACACAATAGAAAGCAATAATAAGAAAGAACGCATTAAATATGTTTGCGGTCCGGGGCAAGATAGTTTATTGAATCATTCAATGCAAATTACGTTCTCAGACACTCATACAATGAGTAAACATGCTTAGTATTGGAATTTAATGCTTGATTAAAGATGAAGTTTTTTGTTATTGTGATTGCTTTTCTCTTGTTTACTATTTAGTTTATTTACAAAAATGAAAAAAAACAAGAAAACAAAAACAACAACTAGAATTTAAATCAAGCATATAAATGCTTCCAATAGGCGTTACGAAGCATTACCTAGCAAATTAAAAACTAATTAACGGGAAGAAATTCTTTTAAGTTTCTATTTAATCATCATCGAAGAATGCTTGCATATCAGTATTTTACGCTTCTCACGATGGACAGGAGTATGTCTCAAAGATTGTTACAAACCTCTAAAATGTCACATATGAAAGTTAAGTACCGGTTGAAGCTACTATGGCATATACACGAATCAAACACTTTTCCCCAATTTTTTCGCTTGTCTATCTTTATCTACACGACACGATATAGGCGAATAGGCGCTACGTCAATCTTTATTCCAAAGCACTATAGCCATAATCCTTCTTAATGTCATCTTCTTACCTCCAGCAGCACCGGATCAGGAAGCCCCTATTAGGAAATCGAACTTTAGATCTTCTACGGTTCGTAGTAAAGTTGAATCCCATCGCCGGTAAACACATTACCTTAGCGACTTTCTCTTCTTTTGCTCAAGTTTTTGGGCATTTAGCTCGAGGCTCGAGGCTCGAGGCGAAAAAAAAAGACCGCTTTTGCTATCCTCTGCAAAAGTCAACGGGTAATGGACATTTCGCGCGGTCGCTGCATCATTTATGAAGAGATTACTGTAAGTGAGCATACGTGTCGGAGTAGAATTTACGAAAGTTCAACCTTAGTCGACTCCAATCCATACAGATGTCAATTAAATCATTCGCTACGAGGCACCTAGGGAGGCAGAACATAACCTCAATAGGAAGGAAACAATTATTTCGAAACATTTGTGGAAACCTATTCAATACCCTTTTGTGAAATTTGTTTTATTTTTGCTGTGAGACTTCTCATAAATACGTTACTAATTCACAAAAACCCAAAAAGGTCTCTTTTTTACTTATACTTGACTGCGTGATTGAAACTTCGTCAGCTTGTGCCTGTCCCGTCAATAGCAAAATTTATTTTGATATTGTAAAGCGGAATACACAGTCATACGAGACGCTTACATAATCTTACATATCTGCATAGTCAGCAAAATTTCTATAATCGCGCCAATCAGAACTATAGCTTTTATATTTTTTTTAACACGTTCTACGTTTTATATGCGTCTTCTTCGGGTATATTTATTTGGTTGAAACGTTTGCAAAGCCCAGACGAAAGGTTCAGAGACCTCACAAAGTATATATGCTCTAGATCAGCATCGAATTGTGAATCGATTTAAGCATGTCCGTCTGCCTGTCTGACCGTCTGCGCAAACATTATCTTGACCGCAAAAATATTGCTATCGACTGCACATTTGGCAAAAAGATGGGAAATCTTTGGGAGATTGGTATTCAAAAAGGGCCAAACCGAGCAAGAGACACGCCTACAGTACCACGAAGACTGAGAACACTTATGTTTTTCGAAATGAATAAAAAATTGTTTTTTGCTCATTATTCATAAGCAGCATAACAGCAGATCTACAACAATTGGAATGTATATTCTATGACAGATCCTTGTGCAGATGTGGGAAAAATTGAGTACGCCTACTCACTATGATAGTGTATCAAAATCTTATTTTTTTTATAACGAGGGGAAGCAATCTTCAAAGCTTGCGTAAAGTATATAAAATCCTAATATACTTAAACATGTCCGCCTCTTCTCTCCGTGCGTTTGTTATTCGATCCATCTATCCGTCAGTCCAACTGTGTAATATTTGTGGTGCACTCTCTGCTCGTATACGTAAAACAGCAGCAGATACAGGGTGCTAAATGCTAAGTATAATC